GTACCTTGTAAGATTATCTGGTTTGTCATGGTTTTATGAAAATTAATATAATAAGTTGTAAGATTATGTGGTTTGTTATGGTTTTATTTGTTTTTAATTTGTTGTAGTTTCATAAAATTTAATATTTTACCTTGTAATATTAAATCTTTTGTTATTTTAAGAACCCGTGAGTGAAAGCAAAGGCAAATATATCCTAATATGTCAACCATACTACATCTGTCATATCTAGTGCCGTCAAGGCCTTTCGCTTAATACCAAGGTTCATCAGGATGGCTGGGATACGACAGATATAGTAGTGGTTCAGACGCTGTTTATATGATCAGCGTCCATGAACAAGGACTGTTATAAATAGTATGAACCAGATTAAGCCAGTAAAGTGTAATTATTGTCAATTTTTAAAAATAATTTACAAATCAGATTTTTGCGGAAAGAATTAACAACACAAGATATTTAAACTTCTTGAAACCATAATTTAAAAAAAAAATCCACTATTTTATAACATAATTTTATCGACAAAGAAAACATCTCTCGATCTTAATTAAAGATGGCGATTATCCACAAAGACTGGTGTTCATACAAAAAATGTCATGTATAGATATATATTTCCTCTATAGTCATTCCATATGTTACACTTATTTTCTTTAAATATAAATGCAACAGCTCCACATTATGATTAGTAGGTTTTGTTTCATTCATATCCAACTATATAATGCAATAACAGCATTTATATATTTAAAACAAATAACCTTCTCATACATATATATATATTATTACATTTAATAATGTTGCATATGTGAAAAAAAAAACATTTTTGGGCATTGAATTGGCTCATATGGCACAGCATACTCTTCGTCAAGGATTCAATACTGTCTATATCCTTTTTTATTTATTCTTTACTAAACAGTGTTTCAGTAGTCAAATAATTATAGTACACACATCGTACACGAAGCACAAGTTTATCCCCTTGTAGTTTATTAACACAGTTTATTTGTTTATAAGATCTAGTAAATGAGAAGAATAGGTATAAATCAGTGTTGAGAAAAGGAATAATATGTCTGTTATTTTTCTCTTATCGTAATTTAGTGAACACAACACTGTAAATTTGGCATTAAACTAACCTCCTTGAAAGGAGATAATATTACACGTTTATTCAGTTATTTCTCTTTATTTTGGATTATATTAGCCGTACGTTTAATAATTCTAGTAGTATATATTATATAAGATTAAGCATGCGTTAAATTACTACCGTGGTTTTTTTTTCATAAAATTTATTCATTCTATGAATTACAACTGTAGTTCCTTTTATATAACATTAATCATGTCCTTAAGTTACTACCGTGGTTTATTTTTCCATAAAATTAGCCATTTTGTGAATTACAGCTGTAGTTCCTTTTATATAACATTAATCATGTCCTTAAATTACTACCGTGGTTTATTTTTCATAAAATTATTCATTCTATGAATTACAACTGTAGTTCCTTTTATATAACATTAACATGTCCTTAAGTTACTTCCGTGGTTTATTTTTCATAAAATTATTCATTCTATGAATTACAACTGTAGTTCCTTTTATATAACATTAATCATGTCCTTAAGTTACTACCGTGGTTTATTTTTCATAAAATTATTCATTCTATGAATTATAACTGTAGTTCCTTTTATATAACATTAATATGTCCTTAAGTTACTACCGTGGTTTATTTTTCCATAAAATTTGTCATTTTGTGAATTACAGCTGTAGTTCCTCTTATATTGCATTAGTCATTCGTTTAATTACTACCTTAGCTCACTTTAAATAACATTAATCATATGTTGGTTCACAAAAGTAGATCATTTCAGGTAGGGCCAAGCTCAGCCGAGTAGTTAGTGTACCTCACTGTAGATTCAAGAATCCATGGTTCGCGTCCCCTTATGTAAAAAAACGTGCTCTGTACTTTGGGGACGTGGACACCTTACACGTTTGTTCGTTTTTGTTAAGCACAAAACTACACAACGGGTTATCTGTGCTGTGATAACCACGAGTATCGAAACCCCGTTTTTAGAGGAGTTAGCTCTCAGACTTACCGCTGAGCCACTGGGAGGAACGTTATAAGAGTGATGGTCAAGTCCCACTATTCAATTATGGTAGTCTACGAGTTGGCTGTTAATGATGTTGACTAACTGCCTTTCCTCTAGTCTATCAGTTCACAATTAGGAACGACTAAAGCGGGTAGCCTTCGAGTAGCTTTGCGCGAAATTCTATAAACAACACTATTTCGCATAATATTTGTCATTCGTTTAATCACGACTGCAGTTCATTTGAAATAACATTAGTCATTAGCTGAATTATTATTGTAGTTAATTTTAGAATACATTATTGATGCGCTATATTTACATACATTTGTTGAATGTCATCATAATATAACACAAATAATGTAACTCATTCTCCCAAATCATTCTCAGAGTCTTATATAAACAATATTCACATTTTTTAAATATTCTTATAATCTAAATCAGAAGATATTATATAATTCATTCTTTGAATCATTATCGAGGTCTTAAACAACCAACATTACACATTTTTTGGAATATTACAATAATTTAACACAGACATTAATACAGACATTCGATGAGTCATTCTCGGGATCTTAGACAACCAACATTACTCATGTTGAAATATTACTACAATATAATAAAGACAACATAACACATTCGTTGATCATTCTTGAGATATTAAACAACCAATACTACACACTTGTTTAAATATTACTTTATTATAATACGCACAGTGTCAAATTCATTCGCTGAATCATTACTATAAGCTAATACAGACAATTTAAATGATTTGTTAAATCATTATCGTTATCTTATACAACCAATACTAAGCCTTTGTTAAAATATTACTATAAACTAACACTTATCGAGATCTTATAATGAACATTTATTTGCTTACTACTAAAGGTAATATAAATGTAATATACACTTTCAACGTTTCACACTCACCGAAATCTTTTAGTCAGTCTTGGAACTTAACGAAGATCTAAACAAAATATATATGACAAAAATATCTTAGTAACTAAATAGTATATAAACACTCTCTTAGTTACAAAAACGGCACCATTTTTCACTGATTGGGTGAAAGCTTACACGGTTTGTTGACATTCCGAGCCCTCGCTTTCAAAGCACTCGCTATTTACACATTCTGATAACATGTCGATCTCTGACATAGTCTTTACTGTGCGAGTTGTTTCTCAGAACTTACAACCTATTTCACAAAATAATAAAGTGTTTTGTGCTTCACATTTTTCCCCTTTCTTTCTTTCTTTCTCTGGCCCCCCTGTGGCACAGCGGTATGTCTGCGGACTTACAACGCTAAAAACTGGGTTTCGATACCCGTGGTGGGCAGAGCACAGATAGCCCATTGTGCAGCTTTGTGCTTAATTACAAATAAACAATTCTCTCTCTCTACTCTTTTTCATATTAAAATCTCGTGATATTTTAAATTCCGTTGTATATTAGTGCTGAACAAATATATTACACCATTCCTAATAAAATATAAAGGAATATCCTCCACTGAGTCAGCGGTATGTTTACAGACTTAGATCGTTAAAATCCGTGGTTCGATTCATCGTAATGGACAGAGTGCAAATAGCCTATTGCGTAACTTTGCTCTGAAAACAAACTGACGTTTCTAAAATAAAGATCAATTTATTCTGTCTTTTCTAGAATATGTTCTCTTAAACTCTATATGACTTTTGTTCTGTATATTTTTCTCATGAGCCGAGCGTGGGCCAGTGGTTAGCATGCTGGACTGTGAAGATGAGGATCCGTGATTTGAGTCCCGTTACCACAAAAAAAAATAAAATAAATAAAAATCGCGATCTCCATTCTGGAATTTTGGGTGAGTTATAAGATGATGGTGAAATCCCACTATTCGGTCTGATAAGTGTAGCCAAAAGAGTTAGCGGAGGGTGGTGCCGAATACCTGCCTTCTCTCTAGTCTGACACTTCACCATTCGTGACAGCTAACGCGCATAAACCCTCATGTAGCTTTGTACGAAGTTCAACAGAACCTACTGTTTTTCTTTATTACTAATACCTTTTTTTGTTTCATTATGTTTTATATATAAATCTATACATGTCTTGCCTTGACTTGCGATTTTTTCACAAAAAAATATTTTCCATGATGTCCATTTTCGTCTTTTTAGCTTAATATTTAGATTTTTGTGTCGCTTTCTCTTTCTACTTTATCCTTTATTAACTTATTTATTTTGAAGTTCTTACTTACCTTACCTATTATCTTGACATTTCATGCGTGTATAGTTAGGGGGTGCACCCACATATATATTTAAAAGGTGTAAAAACTGTTATCAGATATCAGCAAAATGTACCATTTTCAATGAAAATGTAAAAGCCTTTTCAAGAGGGCATGCACCAAGATCCTTCAGTTAGGCTTCACCACTCATTTCATTTTGACTTTAAAAGTAAAAATTCCTTTATACATTTCTGCCTACGCTCCTGCATCCATTTCTTATACTAAACTTATATTAAATTCTCAATTTTTTCTAATAATCTGTATCAACTGTTTTCTTTATCTCGATTTACTTTTTAAATATTTCTTCTTGTTTACATATATTTTAGCTTCGTATCTTACCTTACTTTCTTTATCGTCCTGTTTTCTTTCTATAAAATTAGCCTCCTTTTTTACGTTTAATTATTTTCCCACCAAATTTTTAAAATCTTCTTTCTACTATTCAGATATACAGAGATGTACAGGTCCAAACTATCTAGTATCAAGGTTTGGTTAAAGAGGACGTAAAAGCAATAGGCACTACCCTTTAGTATAAGCTCTATGTAATTATGTAAATACTTCGATCTGCAACCTTTATTATCAGCTTTACATAGCTAAAATTTTAATCATATACAAGTTAACTGTTCTAGAATCATCTTTTTATCTACATTTTCAAGTTCTGTCTCAAGAGTTTTACATAATTCCAACATACTGACAATAACTCGCAAGCATTAGCTATTATTAGCTCTACATGGCCACTGTAGATACAAAACACTAGTAAAGACGGGGTTATATCAGCTATATATTCATAGTCAAATTTACTGTTGTGAAGAGATTCTGTATGGTGTAAATTCTTTGATGCGAAAGCAAGAAAAGTCGTAATAGTGAATTATCTTGTTTACTGAAATTATTATCATGTTTAGAGAGAAACTCACGGCATATGTTCATTGGTGTCACTTTTTTTGTGGTTTATCAGGTCTTGCGGTTAGAAGGCGTGTCCACCTGGCCAATCAATTACTTGTTTATCCATGACGAATTCATGTTGGTTCCTTATCCACAAACGGGCCGCCCCGTCGAGGCACGTGCGAACAAATATTCCTCACTCGGTATCAGTTGTTACAGTACAGTGTAACAAGCAGAGTAAGCAAACGTTCATCAGACTGCATGGTGCAGTGTGAACACACGCTCGTTCTTAAGCTGCTAATTCATAACTACACTAACACTCGGTGAAGGTTTCCAGAACGAAGAGACCCTACAACGGCAAACGAAAAATAAAAATCTAATTTAGTATCAGGGGAGACTACCGTCTTGTAGGACGGCTATCATGTTCATCTCTAGCAGTTACATGTTATGTCACTCCTCTCCAACCTACCCCTCACTTCTACCGACCACTTTCTATGACCGCCAATGTTGTGCCACTTCAGGAACAACCGAGAGAGAGAAAAAAACACCGTTGTCTTCAACCATGACTGACCGCCACTCATCTCGGACTGTTCCCTTACCACGGAAAGCTACATGTGTTGTCCTCTCACGATCATCAACTCCACCCTCTCCTCAACAAGTGTCTTCTTCAGTGACAAGTCGTGACCTCAAGTTTGGTGTAGATCGGATTCTAGCCGATGGGTCACCTTTACAAGAAGAAAAAGGTAAGATAATTTGATAGATGAAAAAGTTCAACTTTTTTAAGTTTTATATTAAATAAAACAGCCCACAATAGAAACAAATATAAATGGAACAGTTATTAATATCCCGAATTTTAATAGTGTTTCAACTTGACTGATTTAGAAGTTGGTAGAAATGCTTTGTTGTTACCAAAACTAAGACTTGACATAACATAATCTATGGATAACAAAGATCCATTTATTTCTTCAAGACTGTCCTTTGGGGAAAATAATGACAAAGGATCGAAGTAGACACAACTAAGAGTCGCGCGTTTAATCCTTTCCCTTCCCTTATGAAATCCCATTATTAAATAAAACATTACAAAATAATACGTTTCGATAAATTAAGCGTAGCCTTCTTTAAATAGTGCTTCTCGATGTTTGTGGTTTTCATACAGTTAAAACCGATTGCATGGCTACAAGCTGTAATGCTAATAATTGAAAGGTTAACTCAACAGAAGATTTCTTCGAATATCCATATGGAAACATGATTTTTGAATAATGTTTTTTAAAATTCTAACAGGATCGGTGGTGAAAAACAAACCGCTAATGAGAGCTCCCCTAGATACATGGACCAAGGGGAACTGAAACAATATACGATAACTGGATAGTTGATATTTAAAGTATAGAATGTTCGCTTGTCGAATGTTTACTTTTTTCTTACTTTAGGGTTAAAATTACTTATTTATACGTAATTAAGTTATCTAATTTTTTACTGCAGTTTTCGTTTACTTATAGTGTTTCGACGCTCACCGTTCTTTTTTAAACTCTGTGGAATATTGGAATTTTGGCTTAATTGAACGGATACAACTATTTGTATTCTTGAAGTTTTATGATTTTTCCGCCATAACTTAAAGGAGAAATTTATTTCTAATCCACGTATTACTATTATTGTTTCACCGGAACATAATGCAGGAAATTTCTTTCTAATCCACGTATTACTATTATTGTTTCACCCGGAACATAATGCAGGAAATTTCTTTCTAA